AATTTTAAAGCCATATAGATAATTATGTTCTTCACATTGTAGAAGATATACTAGCAAGAGGTGAATTGCTAGATTAAAATTGTTTTTCTAAAATGCAATACAAATATAAGGTAAATAGAACCAGCATTAGATACAGTGGTGGATGTGTGTGCAATATTTCCTCCTTGTGATTTAACAGGTGAAACCAAGTCAGTAATAATTAGAAGCAATTACTGACATTTGGATAAGTTAAAGAGATGTATAAATACTTAAAAGATTTTTGTCTAAAACCATACAATCAAGAATATAGATATCAAGATCTGTACAGGTAAGTCCTAAATTGTAGTGATAGCAGATAGCAATATTAAAAACAAAAACAAAATAAAAACTATCCATTGGTTAAACTTAATTTAACAGAATTTCTGTGTTCAAAGCAGACTTTTCCCAGATGATGTGCAGATGATACAAAACAATACATAATTAATGATATATTAGAATTAGAATCTTACTACACAGTTCATCTTTATTTACTCTCTATAACAGTAGATCATGTCATTATTTTCTGTAATGAGCAAGGAATAACACACAGATTATCTCCCATAATATGAACTGGGACATAAATCATCCACTCTGGCCAGTATTAGTGAAAGTTACACTCCCAAGCATTTTAATGATGGCATGTGGAAAAGCTGTCACCTAGGACGTTGACTCCTACCAGTCTCAGGTAGCACTGGGACGTGTGTGTAATGTAGAACAGTCCTCTCCATAACCCTAACATGGCACAAATTTCACATCTTATACAACATAATTCAGAGACAAACTGGAGGAGGATAGTCTGTAAGTGGGTATTTTGAATATAATTATTTACATAAAAATAAACATAGTATCACTAATATTTAGAAGATCTCCAGTTGCATTAAAGGGGGACTTTATTTTAAAACACATTTTACAAAGATTCCTCTGTATAGCACAACTATATATACTGTGCAATCTAATTACATGAAATGAACAACCAACCCACCTCTTGCAAAAATTTGTGGTCACATACTACCAATGTTGCTTTGACAATACCTCTGCCGTAAACATAAAACTGAGATCTCTTCATCATCACTAGGGAAGGTCCCACCCAAAACCTAAATACAAGCATCTGACAATATAAATGGTTACATATGATGATACAATTAGAAGATTATTGGCTAATGTTTTAAATTCATGGTTTTCCTTCAGGAATGTTTTTTTTAAATGTAATTCTTAAGTCAGTGATGTAATGAAAAAAAAGTTTAATGAAAACTCTGAATTATTTTGGAGTTACCCAAGGAACAACAAACCTAAAGAATGACCATATAGTAATTTTACCTTTCACTACAATAAGGGAGATAAAACGCTAGACAGATAGATGGCAGGTTCTAGAAAGCTTTTCATGATTTCTGGACAGCTTTATATATCAGAAGGCCAGAAAAAGAGTTTACAGACATACTCATGTTTGCCTATGAGGAGACTTCTATTGGACAATAACCACACTTGATTGGCACCTTTCTGGCATTTGACAATTTTGTCCAGACAGGAAGGGCACCTGATAGTTTCCACTCCCAGGGGCAGAGCAATGGCGGGTGTGCATTTAAAGCTGGAGAAAAATGTTAGTAGGGGTGAGGATCCTGACTCTTGAGTTATCCAGGTATGTTCTATGCAAACTCCTGCTATCCACATTGCTTTTCCGGGGATATCTCGGACTGCCAGGCTGGGTACCACAAGCCAATGTGCTACCTATTTAGGGAGCACCCCAATAATCATTTTGAGACCTCACCCAAAACCTCAGGCCACTGTGACCTGCAGTGGCAGGTTGTGGCCTATTAACGCCAGAGTTGAGCAAGCATGTGATAATACGAATCACTTTCCATGTCTTACTATTTCTTCTATTGTTTAATCAGCCTTTGCAGACATGATAGACTAGCCTGATATTATTATTATTATTATTATTGCCGTTTATATAGCGCCAACAGATTCCGTAGCGCTTTACAATATTATAAGAAGTGGGATTTAGCTATAAATAGGACAATTACAAGAAAACTTACAGAAACGAGAGGTTGAAGAGGACCCTGCTCAAACGAGCTTATAGTCTATAGGAAGTGGGGTGTAAAACACAATAAGACAGGAAATAGCAATCAAAATATGTTGGATTGAAACAGAGCTGGAGGAGAGAGTAAAGTGCTGCCCTTTAGAAGAGAACAAGAGACAGGAAGCCATAAGCTTTCCTAAAGAGATAGGTTTTAAGGCACAACGATTGAAGACTAGGGGAGAGTCTGGTGGCGGTAGGTAGGCTATTCCATGGGAATACAGGTGCGAGCAGCAGACAGGAGAAGATCACAGACAGAACGGAGAGATTGAGAAAGACTGAGAAAGGGCATAGCTATAGATCTGTGAAGAGATATAAGAGTGGCTAGCATTGTTCAGAGCTTTAAAGGTTTGGGTTAGCACTTTGAATTGACTCCTATAGAATACAGGAAGCCAATGTTAGGACTGACAGAGGGTTGAGGTGTGAGAGGACCGACTAGAGAGGAAAATCAGTCTGCTATATACATTTAAGTCCCTTGTCAGTAATCTTCTACTTCCCTCAAATTCTATTTTATAAAAAAAAGTGCCGTATGCGTGACCTTTCATTTAATAACTTGATGTGTTTATCACATTCAAAATTCTAGTGCTTGCTTACAAATCCCTACATAATGCTGCTCCAACATACCTATCCTCCCTCATACACAAGTATGTCCCGTCGAGACCCCTGCGCTCAGCCCAAGACCTACTCCTTTCCTCTGCCCGGATCCCCACCTCTGATGCTCGCCTTCAAGACTTCTCCAGGGCTGCACCTATTCTGTGGAACTCCCTTCCCTCCTCAATAAGACTTTCACCCAGCCTCCATTCCTTCAAAAAATCTTTGAAAACTCACTTCTTCATTAAAGCGTATCAATTAAACTGTCAGCAGGTTTCTCATCCCCCACCCTTCCGTTCCTTCACCTGTCAAAAATGACCTACCAAGCACTCAATAAACCCTTCTGTAACAAACTATTTAATTCCCCTACTTTAACCCTTTGTGTCACTATACCCCACTCCCTCTAGCATGTAAGCTCATCGAGCAGGGCCCTCAACCCCCTCTGTTCCTGTACGTCAGTGGTCTGATCTCAATTATGTGTCTGTTAGTCCACCCATTGTACAGCGCTACGGAATTTGTTGGCGCTATATAAATAATAAAATAATAATAATAATAATAATATGTATTCTTTCTGTATTCTTCCAATGCTTATATTCACTTCATGCACTGAAAAAATATAGAATGTCAAAGAAAAATGTAATTAAACTTTATTTATTTTTTTATTTGGGGGCACCTAGCATGTAACGGGTTAAGGGAACACTCACAACTTTAGCAGAACATGACTTTCAACACTGGAGTATTTCTTTAACATAGAGAGAAAAATAAAAAACTATGTGGAAGTCTGGTTATACAACACATTGTAATTTGCATGAATAACAATATGTCACTAACTCATCTCAATTAGAGGGTCGTAGACAAGCCTGACAGAGGGCCAGGTGATGCTCAGTGCCTCGGGACTCCTGCTAACAGGGTCTGGGATTCTTAAGTCCTCTTGTCCTATTAAAAGTTCCTCCCACTTCCACCAAGTAGAGGACCGTGGTCACCCTTAAAGGAGCACTAAAATGCCAGGAAAACAAACTCATTTTCCTGGCACTATAGGGTCATTAAGTCCCCCCCACCCTCAGGGCCCTCCTCCCTTTGGGCTGAAGGGGTTAAAAGCCCTTCAGCCACTTACCTTTCTCCAGCGCTGGGCTCCCTTGAAGCTGGTGACCTCTCCTCCCCCTGCCGACGTCAGCTCCGAATGTGGATGCGCGGCAATAGCCACACGCACATTCAAACCGTCCACAGGAAAGCATTACTCAATGCTTTCCTATGGACGTCCAGCGTCTTCTCACTGATTTTCACAGTGAGAATCGCAGAAGCGCCTCTAGTGGCTGTCAGTGAGACAGCCACTAGAGGCTGGATTAACTCTCAGTGAAACATAGCAGTTTTCCTGAAACTGCTATGTTTACAGCTGCAGGGTTAAAACTAGAGGGACCTGGCACCGAGAGCACTTCATTGAGCTGAAGTGGTCTGGGTGCCTATAGTGGTCATTTAAACCAAATATAATATCAGCAAAATACTCTGGTCACCTCTCAAATGATAAACCCCTCTGCCCACCCACTATCTTCTATTATAATAAACTTTTACATAGTCCACTCACTATAATAAGTATAAGTAAGGAGGGAATGTACCTCCCTGGACTGCCAAGGAAGGGAGGACCTGACTGATGCCTGAGTTAAGGGGTTGGGACCAAAGGGGATACAATTGTAGCAGTATATAAGAGGGATAAAAAGGAGGGAGGAGGGACCAGTCTGTCAGAAGAAGTGTGGGGATCCTAGATTTTCTGGCTGGCTGGGTGAATTGTGCCTTGAACTTCAAGATTTCTGCTTTTACCTTTCCCTGCTGTGTTCTGGTATTGGATGAGGAAGGATGGCGACGTCCAGAAATTCAATGGTAGCCTTGTTGCAGGCGTACCTCGAGGCCAATGGTGCTGGGGCCCTGGAGGAGGTGATGTCTGGTGTGATTCGTGTCCCGGGAGGGACGGGAGACCAGGCACCAGAGGAGGAGACACCCGTGGGCAGACCAAGGGGAGGAGATCCAGGCCTCCATCACGCTTACCCCCCAGTCTGGTTTGGAGGAGCAGTGCCGGACAGAGAAGCTGGGACCTGGAGGATATCGGAGTCAGAGCATCCAGAGTGATGCGAGGCAGGAACTGGAGCTGGTGACTCGCCCAAGATGGAGGTGCTGTGGTGGGATCCAGCAATCCGCCTTCTCTTCTGGCGCGACCAGAAATGATCTCAGTACATCAGCAGGGAGCATAGTCGCCACCAGAAGTGATGCAGCAAGGAAATGTAGTGCGTCATGGTGCCGTAAGTCAGGTTAGAGTGACATCATCATGGGAGGTGTACGGGACAGCGGCACGGGGGAACGTGACCGCGTCACGGGCCCTGGCACCGGAAAGAGGTCGGACGGCCGGGAGAAGTCAGAGGGAGCTAGTGATGGAGGTCACATGAGCATCTGGTGCTCGGGAGAACGCAGGCTGCAGCAGTGGTACTGAGAATGAGAGGACCAGGCTGGGCCTGATTCGGAGTCTGAAGAGGTGGAGCAGGATGGTCTAGTGGAGCAGGTGTTGGTGACTCCTCAGAGGTTTGTGAGTTTGCCTGTGCTAGCGCTTGGGAGAATTCAGGGGTTAGTCAGGGTACTGGGCAGAACAGTTTGTAGGACCCAAGTATGTGAAGTTAACATGCGCTAGGCATTTACAAAATTTCCCTAATCTGCCCCCCACCAACATTATTGAAGGTAGAGATGAAGGAAGTAAACTTACCATAAGGGCATCAGCCAAGTGAAGAGCCTCTAGCTCCACGAGACCGCCAAGGCCTTCCTTGAGCTGGCAAGAACGGCGAGGTGGATTTAGACTGCGGACCTTGGAAACGTGACTGGAAGGAGCCTCAAGAAACCTGATACGAGCCCCGGGAGGAACGGTCGGGCAAAACTGTATGGGAGAATACCTTTTTCATATTGGCTTGTGCCTTGTCTAGTGCAGTAAATGTGCCTACATAGGTACCCAGTTCCTTCACGAAATTGTCCCCAAAAAGAAGACCTTTTGCCTGTGGCCCAGGCTCTGAAATAGCCAAATTAACCAACTTTGGCTCAATCTTTATTAGAATTGCCTTTCGCCTCTTGGTGGCTAAAGCCGTATTGGCATTACCGAGTAGACATATGGGTCGTTGGATCCAGCCCCTGATAGCAAGCAGGTCAGCAGGAGCACCACCTGTCAAGGCCGTTTCGACCATGTCGAATATCTTAGCACTGGGTCAGAGGACATCCAGTATCTTATCTTGGCACTGACAGTGCAAAATCTAGGCCTTTCTTGGCATTCCATCCAGTTTTGCCCAGGAACTGGCATTATGGCTGTGGGAAGCAACCAAGAGCCAGCTGAGCAGAAACAAAAGGCAAAGCAGAAGCCCTGAAACAAACAAAATGAAAACAAAAATTAGACACCAATTATGCTTAAATTACACCAAAATTCTGGTATCAGACAGAGAGAAAATTAAAATATACTTAGCTTTGAAGGCAGCAGCAAAGAAAGAGGAGTGGCCTAAGGTCACGTGGGGAGTTGATGGTGCAAGGGGCATTATGATTGGATGTATTGTTATGTTGTTAACCCTTTGAGGGTGCATATTTACATGTTTGTTTCTATGAATATATAATATTTGCTGCATAGGATTAAAAAAAGAGATTAAGCATGATATGAGCCTCCATGACCTTTAATAGAATCAAATCCACCTGGAGGATTCTCCAATCAATATTTCTGGATCAGAAATATTTCAGGGACTCAGGGAGGGATGGGATTATGCATGTTTTGATTTGTATTCATTGCTGTTTATTTCTATCTCTGAAAAAGTCCATCTGTCAGGGTGGCGGTCCGGTGACCGGGACCCAGACACTGTCTGGGCGGCAGTCGGACGACCGGGACCCAGAATGCCTGATGCTGAAAGTAGGAGTCAAAGTGTGGAGGTGAATTAGCAGGGTCTGGTGCAGGGTAACCGCACGCCCCCTGGTGTTGAGCACCAGTGTTTGTGCAGCCACATACCAGGACCCTGATGCAGCTTCAGCGGATCCCAGGAACTAGGAGCTTGGAAATAAGCAGACCTCCCATGAGAGGACTTTGCAGCAGGAATGTATCCAGTACAGAAACAAGGCAAGACTAGAACAGACACCAAACATGAAAACAAGACAGAACTAGTAGAACCCAGAACCAGAGAAGAATAGAAAGCTAAACCCAAAACATGTACAAAATACATAAGGAATACATTAACAGAACAGTGGCAGGACAGGACAGGACTGTACATGGACTGGAAATACAAATTAAAATAAGACAAGATATAATAGGCAAAACAAGAGGAGAAATAACGAAGTACTAAATGTGAAAAGCTATGGGGATTTAGTTACATTATATGATCATACATTGCTAAGCCTGCCACAACGCCAATGTACCCCATATTTGGCAGGTCCTATCTAAATGCCTAATGTCTGCTAAATGAACCATAATAAAGCACATAAAGCACTTACCTGCAAGAAAGGGCAGAAGACTTGAGCAACTGCCTGCAGGGACCAACTGAAAAAAAGGAATCATGGAAAAGGAAACGGGTGTGGCAACATAAAACAAACATTTAAAGGAATCCAAGAGACTGGGAATTCCAGGAACAGAATACAGGAATAAACCCAGAAAAACCCAGCATAAAGAAAACCAGACATAGAATAGAAAACCAGAAAACTCAAGAAAAACTAAACAAGAATTGTAAAGAGTACTGGATACCAGAAGCCATTGCCAGAATGATCTGCAGCTAGGACCAGGATGTGACACCATCTTTAATGGACGAAAGGCGTTACATATTTTTTATTTCGTTTATTGGATTTTTATATATCAGTCAATTTATGCCTAATAAAAGATACATATTTTTTATCCAATCCCTGAGTCTGTTGGAGTTCCTGTGCTTGCTGAATATCCACCCTGATCCATAGATGGAGAGCAGACAATTGTAGCCCTATTTTGGGCTTTGAGGCGCTTCTTGAAGTTCTATCTTGGGAGTGCAACCAATTATTGCCGTGTTTTTACAGTTTAACTATACATTGTTTATACTCTGTATTTTAGATCTAGCTGTATTTTAGATCTAGCTGTATGTAGCTGTATATTTTGTATATATATATATATATCAGAGGCGATACAGGGGAAGGCATCTAGGGAAGCTGTTTTGTTGTACTAAGTTAAGTACTTTTTTCCTACCCATCACCTGTTTTGGTTGCAGGGTATTTCTGTATATATCACTGCACAAGGTGGCTATGTCTCCTTAAATAGTGGGTAGGTCCCACAATGTACCAAAATAACTGGAAGGGATCAGCCATATGTTCAATGTCATTGGTCACCTCAAACCTATTCTTTAGAATTTTCAGTAATAGGTAAAGTAAGAAGAGCCATCTCATAATCTATGAATAGTTTTGGTGGTGTAACGTGCTGTTAACTGCTCTACTGTCATAGTTAGAGCTCCAACGAGCACTGCAGCAAGCTCATCTATTGTACTTTTAGGCAATCTACAACTAGAATACAATATTATGCTTAAAGGGGAAATGTAATTCTGGAATTTACACCATTAACTTAAACATAGAAAATAACCTATAACTCGTGGTGAACTTTTTTTTCATGAGATGCTTTGTTTTCTTATAAATTTCAACCAATTACATCATAGTCCAGTTTAGAGAGGCAAATCCAAGGAATACCTTGCAAATGAAGAGGAAAATAGAATCATTGTTTGATTTCCTTTTCCTTACCTGCTTTTGTATGTTGACTGCCAGTCTATATATGCAAAGGATAAAGTATATCACAATGACTGAGACTGAGCTAAGACGCCCAGTTGTAGGGTAAAGAGGTGTGGATTCCTACATTCCTTTTATATTTTGCACTTCACAAACGCGTATTTGCTTACTATAGGAATAGGTATTCCTGTATTTAATATTAAAGGGATGTTATAGTCACAAAATAACTTGGTGTATAGATCATGCCTCTGAAGTTTTACCTCTCAATTCTCTGCCATTTAAGAGTTAAATTTGTTTTATTTCTGTCTATGCGGCCCTAGTCACACCTCCCCTGATTGTCACTGACACAGCCTGCATGTAAAAACAAAATGGTTTCATTTTCAATCAGATGTAACTTACTTTAATCTTTTTATTTTATCACCTGCTCTGCAAATTGAACTTTAATTACATACAGGAGGCTCCTGCAGGGTTTAGCAAGCTACTAACAGAACAGGAGATAAGAAATTCTAGATTAACCGGAATTTGCAATAAAGGAGGTGTAAACATTAAATGCCTCTTTACAGGAAGTGTTTGGGAAGCCTGTGCAAGTCACATGCAGGGAGGTGTGCCTAGGGCTGTATAAACAATAACTCCTAAATGGCAGAGAACTGAGCAGTGAGACTGCAGGGGCATGATCTATACATTAACACTGCTTCATTAAGCTAAAGTTGTTTTGGTGACTACAGTGTCCCTTTAACAATTCTGGAAAATGACAGTTCCACTTTTATTTCTTAAGTTATAGAAACTCTCTGTCTAATTGTAGCACTTTATCTACATCTAGAATATTTTCTCATGTGTGTTGTTAATCATTCAGGTTGTATATCTCATGTAGAGTCAGGATTTAAAAAATCAGTCAATGCCTTCACTGAATCTTTTAATATGTTTTAAAAAAAAGATCATTTAATATTATATTGTTCTAATATCATGCATGATCCTGATCAAATTACCAAACTATGGCATGCAAGAATGGCTTGGGACCTTGGCTGATAATCAATTAATACATTTCCAGATAGGTATATTTAAACAATCCCACCCACAGACATTTACAGAAGAGCAGATGGCATGATCACATTAAACATTAATCAAGAATTGCTCCAGTACCATTAGAAAACCTATGATAAATAACACTGAATTGCTGCATATTATTACTGGCATGTAGCACTGCATCATTGACAACAACTTCAGTCAATAAAATGAAAGTTAAAAAAGTAAGATACAATAATATTCTCACCCAGATGTTTTTATTCTATTATTAAAACCAAACATGACTGACAATGACATATGGTGTGTAGTCATACGTTATCCCCTGGAGAACGTAATAAATTAATTCATGCAACTCTCCGACCCAAATTTCCAGAGGCAATACATACATTTTATCATTTGTTGACATATTTTTTACTTTGGCTCAAAGAATTCAGAGCACAATTTGGGTAGCCCAGGCATCTACTGTATTCATACCTAATCCCTGTAGGGTTTTCTCCTCTCCATAAATGGGCTGTGATTACTACTTAATTACTGGGTCATGCACTATGCCTCACTGCAACATACCACCGTAAGCCCAACTGGACAGGAAATGTTTGTCAGATGTTGCGTGTATAAAAGGGACAAGCATCCTATTCCCATAAGAGATGATTCGTGGTGGGGGAACATTTTTAAAGGATTTACAGTCTTACAAATCAGTAACCGGATAGTATCTT